GCCTAGCCCAGGTTGTAGTGGTGCTTTCGCAGGCGATTCTGGCCGAACAATTGCCCCTATCACTGCAGGAAACGATGCTTCTGTTCGCCTCGATGCATTGGCCAGCGGGCTTCCTCTGCACTCAATTTCACCACCACCTACCCCAGTAGTCGCTCGCCCCTCCGCCAGGACTAGCGGTAGCAGCAAAGAAGCCCGACAACAGCGTTCGGTATTCGGAAAATCTGTCGGCGGCATCAGCACGGCTTCCTCACTGTCAAGTCCATCGACGTCAGTACCTGGGAGCCTTTGTACTTCACCAGCGGGAGAAATCTGCTCTCTGGGTCTTAGCGTAGATGAGATCGCTGCTGGTTTGGTGTCTAAACTGACACCCGCCAATGTTGCCGATTTAGTACTTCTCAGGTGGGTCTATTTCGAGCATAAATGTTAGCGAATTTGGAGTACCCTTCGTTTAGTTTGAAGAGGCGAGTGAAAGGGATACATTAGTTGTTCTTACTGGTAGCTTCATGGGGATTGCCTTGGAGCTGTGGCTCTAGATTTATGCTGATGGATCCTCGGCGCACCGCTCTGCGACCCTGATTAATCTTTGCTGAGCTTTCATTCGTAATGCGACGGACATCACCAGGACAGGACACCATGCCTAACTATGATTCATTAAAACACGAAGGCAAGAAAGGTGACCGGCTTCAAACCTACCCAATTCCCATGATCCAACTTGGTCCACTTAATGAGGCATATCATGCTTTCTTCCAAATTCAGTTTTGCTACATTACTTTAGTAATTACTGGACTATTCTTTCATATTTAATTACTTTTGTAAAATTGCGTTCGAGGTAAGAACTTCATATTTTTGTTCTTAAGCTGATTCACCCTTAGGCAAAATTTGACTTTTTATGACTTGGATCGTCATCTTCTCAATTTACTTTTTATTATTCACTACTAGCGGAAGTCATTTTTATGAATTTATATTATCATTTTGTCTTATATGCATGCATTTTATTAGCAACTTAGTTTTGATAATCTGTTGATTTTGAATAAAAATTGTTCAACCTTACCAATCTCTTTAATCATTTGTCCCAATTAAAGATCAACAAATAGGGGCATTAAGGACCCATTATTTTTATTATTTCAAAACTTAATGATGCTGCAGTGAACACTTACTCACAAAAGTGTAAAACTCGGTTTATTTCCTTAAGGTGTTGGTTCAACCTCGTTTTTGCAACTTGGTCGGAGCGTCAGACAGACCCTGTGGAATGTACCTAGTCCTGTGTCCTCTTCCATAGTATTCGTGATTTTCAGCATCGGACCATCGACTTGCTACATTGCAAAACGTTTCGCCGACATCGTCAGTGAGAGGCGCTATATCTACGATTTTACTTTATTAAAGCTATAAAATGTCGACCTCTGATAGCCTGGGTTATTTGTCTCTCTTTAGATCATACTCAGACTGAGACCCATAAAAGAAAAAAAATCTTATTCTTTTCTCATCTACATGCCCGTCTAAATTTATGCGCAGCATGGTCGTTCTACCAGATAAGATGCCCTCGGCCTTTCAAGCCACGTACACACCGATTGCCGCGGCCGGGACTCAGGCCCAGATCCGACATCTGGCTCGCTTGCTTGCCGCCCAATTGGCATTTTGGGTGAGTGCCGGGCAGTCACGCACACAGTCTAGACCGGAGCCGAATTCCACGAGCGCTGCTATGATAGCCAGTGAACGTGAAGAGGCTGGCACAATGCTACGCCAGCTTGTACTGGGCCCAGCTGGGCCGGGTGGCCCTGTTACTGCCGGCGATAGGCGCAGGAAGAAAATGGCCACTGCTTCTATCTCTGGCGGTGGAGCCGGAGCCGGAACCGCAGCCACGGGAGCCGGGGAATTGGGAGCAACTGGAGATGTGATCACATCCAGAAAGAGGGTGTGTCTCTACTTGTTTTTTTAGACTTCTCACATTTTGACCACTTTATTTTTATTTATTTATGAGGTTTTGGTAGTAGATGATCGTTATTGTTGAGCTTACTTTCATTTCGAATGAAAGTGTTGAATGAAGAGATTCGAAGGTCGGTTCCACCAGAAGACGATGGCGGATTCCTCTTGACCAACTGTCAAATGGCTTTATTGGAGGATTCATGTTGATGCTGTTTCCAAAGCAATCTCCTTCGCTTCCGCTGAAAAGGTGCTAAGCTTTCGTTCGTCATATGACGAACATCATAAGAGCAAGGTATCATCATCACAACAAAATTCAAGCTAAAGAGTCAACAAAACTCACCGGAAAATCCCTACATCTGGCCTCTGATCAATTATAAAGTGATTTTGTTAGTTAGGAGCATATGTAAACTTTGATGCCTGTGAGTATGTCTGTCTCTCTATGTGTATGCGCCTGTTTGTGTTCGAGCAGTTGAGAAGTTAAGCAGTGATGTCTATAGAAAGCCAATACATGCTGGCTTTATACTTAACTTCTTCTCCAATCATAGTTATAAAACTAAGGTTGGAGTTTTAAAATCTATGATTATTCAGAGCATAAGACTAGCCGATTATACCATTGTGACAATGAACTGATTCGGCTTAAAATAATATTTTTTTAAGAATAATTATCCCTTAGGCTTGATTGAAAATAAGATTAGATTAATAAAGAATAGCTTTTTGAATGGTGAATACGTAAGGAGAGATAAGGAGACCTTTTCTCATGTTGCCTTCACTTTCGTGCATTTGCTCTAAAAGGAGAGTTGAACAAGTAAGGAAGTGGGGAATAAAAACAATCTTCAGGGAAAATACGACACTTTCTTCAATTATGCCCACTTT